GTCTCGCGAGGAGGGAGAGGCGCCCCCTCCGGCGCCTGCAGAGGAGGGGAGGCGCCGAAGCCGCCGGGTACGCCTTCGCGGATCCTGCCGCCACCGGCCGAGCTTACTGGGCCGACGGGAGCTGGCCTCTGGCGGTCCAGCGGGACCTGCGACCGGGTCCTCGGAGGTAAGCAGGCTGGGAACAATGGGCGTGGGGTCGGCGGCCGCGGGAACAGGGCTACGGCCTGGGCCTCGGAGGGCCGGGGTCGCGACGTCGCCACGGTAGCGGGTCACCTGTGACTCGGCGGCGGTGGGCGAAGGAGGGCAGTGTCTCGCCGCGCCGCCCGAGGGGCGCGAACTGGACTCGAGACTGGAAGGAGTTGTGTGTCCAAGCAGAGTAGCCGCCCCCGCTGGGAAGTGTGACCTTGGCAGGTCCCCAGCCGGGACCCTGTCTGTGAAATGGGAGTAGCATTCCAGTTGCTCGGGTTATGTAATTTACATGGTGTGGTTGTCTTTCCATCCGCGCCAGCCGTTTTCAGGCTAAGGAAGCCACTAAGACTAGTGGAGTTGTGCAGTGTTTCACATGTGGACAGGGGTTGTGTGACCACAGCACCCGTCTAGTTAGTGCTGCTTTCCTGGCCTGGTGGTTTCTGATTTGTAGACTAGAGCGGTCCAGTGAGGAAGTGAGTACAGAGATTTTCCTTTTCTTTCCTTTCCTTTCCTTTCCTTTTCCTTTTCCTCTTTCTTTTTCTTTTCTTGTTTTTTTGTTTTTTGTTTTTTGTTTTTTTTTCCGAGACAGAGTTTCTTTGTGTATCTCTGACTGTCCTGGAACTCTTTCTGTAAACCACCAGGCCGGTCGAACTCACTTAGATCCTCTGGTGCTGCAATTACAATTACAGGCGTGCACCACCACAGCCCGTCTGTGAGCACAGAGATTTAAAAGGAAACTGGGAAGCATTTTTGGTGAGTACATTTCTAGATTAAGAAAAAAAATAGAGAAACAGGTGCCTAAGGCTACTAATAGGTAGAGATTGTTGTTTGGGAGGATTTGAGGGTTTGGATTTTTAGTACATGAGAAGCTGTGCTGTTGGCCACAATCATACTTATGTGGACTGAGTGGCTTTCACAGCAAATACAATTCCAATGTTTGCTCATCCCCCATTTTGGGGCAGTGACTCTGGTAGCCAAGATTGGTCTGGAGTTCCTTATGTAGCAGAGGATGACCTTGATTTTCTGGCTCTCTTGCCTTCATCTTCCGGTGTGCTGGGACTGTAGGGTGTCCCAGGGTACCTGTCTCCGATAAATTCTTTTTTTTAGTGATACTTGAAATTCTAGCCCAAGTGTTTAGTCCCAGCACTCGGGAGGTAACGTACAGAGTGAGTTCCAGGACAGCCAGTGCTACACAGAGAAACCCTGTCTTAAAACCACCACCCCCACCTCCAAGAAGAAATTAAATTTGGTCATTTATGTCATACAAATTTTAGATGATTAAACTACTCAGATTTGCAAGTAGAACCCAGATTGCTTTTAACAGTCATGGTTCCAGTTTATCCACTTGTGAAAGTTGTTAACCACTTTGCTTAGATACATTAAGCATATAATTGTTATTACTTATTTGCTATTGACTATTTTGGAAACCCATCTGAGTTACTGTGACGGTCAAACTTTTCCATATTCTTTCTATTTGTAGAGCACTGTGCTGAGTGACATGAGTTACATCCCGTCACACAACCTTTTTTCGTCCTCTTTCAAATGAATACTAGTATTCCATTTTAGAGTTGAGAATATTTGAGAAATAACTTTGTCCCAGCTTGCTCTTGGGTTCTTCAAACTAAGTTGGTGATTCTAACCAGCCTCTAACCAGAGGTGTCATGGGCCTCTAATCGGCAGAGGCAGGCAGATCTGAGCTGCTGGTCAGCCAGGGGTCCATAATGAGACTTGGTTCTTCCCTACCCCACCACCCTACAAGTAGCAATTCTCAGAATTGACTGATGCTACATTAAAGTTAACATTGCTGAAGTACAGTCAGATGGTTAAATTCTCTGTCCAGTGATTATTTAAGGACTACTATAGAAGATAATTTTTATAGAAGTCTTGACTTTAAAGCAGGGGGAAAAAGAAAACTGTAAAATTCATGCCGTTTTCCAAACTCCCAGTCGAGCTTTCATTAAATTTCAATTCTGATTGTTTTTCTGTACCTATTTTCCCTGGATATGTTTGAACCTGTTTTCTGAAATTTCCCCCAAATTATGGCATAAAGGGTTTTTATCTTTGTTAGAATCTGCAGTTTTGAAGATTCAGGAAAGGCAAAAAGTTCAGTGCTTCCTTAAGTTTTGGATCTGACTGTTTTAGAAGTAGGAGCAGAGCAGGTTTATCTGCTCTGGGGAAGCAAATTTGTAGTCCTAAACCTTAAGTTTCTTGGGTAGAGGAACATTTATGAGGCTTCTTCTAAAAAAATAAAATCCTGAAATACAAAATATAAATGGTTCTATATTTGCCACCTAAATAGGGACTTCTTGTTCAAATCTCCAATTTCAGGTTTCTAGCTATCCCAATGTGATTTGTTAGTGTATTTACCTAGGTGTGTGTCACCATCCAGATCTAATTATAGGACATTTTCATCTTCCCAGAAAGAAATCCCATTACCAGCTCAAGTCATCTTTTCCTCTTTATAGATAGGACTGTTTGGGTCATTTTTATGAGTGGTACCATATAGTATATGGGTGTGGGTGTGTTTTGTATTTCATTTATTAGAATGTTATATTGTAGAATCAGTACTTCATTGCTTGTTACTGCTAAGTAATTTTGTATGCATACCTTTTTTATATAACCCACTGGATCAGGTTAGTACGGCCTTATGCATATCTGGCTGTATGGATGATATACTGGGGGCATGGGCAGCCTACCAGTAGCCTGCCATCAACCATCTGTAATGGCCTCAGGGTGGGACTTTGAGAGTAACACACACACACGCACGCACGCACATGCGATTCTCTGGAACTGAAGTTATAGATGATTGTGAGCCACCATGTTGGTTTGAGAACTCAGCCTGGATCCTTTGCAGGGGGCGTCTCCCCAACCCTGTGCTGTAACTTTTAACTGGCTTGAGCTTGTGTCAGGCACTCGCGGTTTCTTATTCTCAGTGCTTCGAAGACCTGTAATAAATCTCTGCATTACAGAAAACGGCTCTGACCAAGGTGGGAGCAGCATTAGCAAAACCATCAGTTCTCCCGTTGAGCCAGTGGCTTCCCCAGCCTGGGTTTGACCGTGTTAATAGTACCAAACCACATTTTGTTAATCCGTCAGTTGATGGATATGACATTTCGATGACCACATTTGAGATACCAGTAACTAATCTGTGACTTGAGAGTTTTGTTTGGGTGTATTTTGTATTTTCTTTTGAGTATGTACCAACAGATGAATTGTTGAGTCACACAGTGATTTTACTTCATTTGTAGTTTAATAGTCAATTTTAATATTTAATATTTAGTGCTGATTTTTGAACAGGTAATCTCTTGTTACCGTTAGGTTGATATTTTATGTCTAACTAGTACTGTATTGTGTAACTAAATATATTGAGTGGAAATACAAGAAAAATCTAATTGTTATTTTTACCTGTTGGTCAGTCTTTAGTCTTATGCTGTCAAAGAAATATATTTCTCAAAATTAGGAAAGATTTAAGGTTTCAATTTTATCAAAAAGTATACTTCGTTGATGTTTGGAGTTTGCAGTCTAGTATTCTTTAATTAATCCTGAGTTGTGATTTTCTTTGTTTTTCTTTTATGGTACTGGGAATAGAAACCAGGACTGCCTTACCTGTACCAGACAGGCCTACCACTGAGCTACATATATTCCAAGGTCTGAGTTGTAATTTCTTTTGAATTAGAAATGTTTAGTAAACACTAAAATTCTTCCTTCGAAAGAAGCAAATTAAAATGAAATGTGTTATATCTTGAAATTTACTGATCACTTTTTTCAACTCTAATCTATTATGTTAGGGGCCAACTAAAGTCAGTGCTTGCAGGTTCCTCTGGTTTTGGAGCTAATTTTAGTTGGAACCTGCCTGGTTGTCAGCGCTTGTCTCATAGTGTTTGCAGTGCCTTCCCTCTTTGCCATTTGTTTGCTCTAAGCACAAACTGTCTTTCATCCTACAAGGTTTTTTTCTTTTTCTTTTTAAATGACTTTAAAAAACCTTTTTCTGAATGGGTTGATTACTATACACAGAGGGAAATACTGAAGTTTTGTGATACTGTTGAGAGTTTTAATTACGTTCAAAAGTACTGGGGATGTGGCTTGTTGGTAACATTTTTGAGACCCTGAATTCCATTCCCCAGAATCACATAAATAATTCATAAACAGCAAAAAGCAATTAGTATTATGTATCTGTAATCCACTTTCCAAGACCAGTGAAGAGTTTTGAATAGAAGACTGGAAATACCTGGATCATTAAGGAAGCATTTGTTTGGATTAATTGTCTTTCTCTTAAGTATCTTTCTGAGAAAGTCAAAATGTCTGAAGTGAACATGGTTTAATTTGGAAAATCTATGTTCCAGGGATGGTTTTTTTTTTAAGTATTTTTGATTTTTTTTTCCTTCAGGTCAATGAGTAGATTATATAGGAAATAATAAGTTTATTATTCAGCCAACTTAGCAGTTGAGTAGTAATGGAGTTTCTTATGAGAGTGGAAGATGAATACCAGACCCAGAGAAATCTAAAGAACAGACAGAATTTTTCAGTATGTACAAGATAGTATAAAAATGGAGTATAAGAAAGGCTTTACAGAGAGGACTGAAATACAATGGATATTTGATTTCAGCTCCAACAAACTCACGTTGTAAGCTACAACCTGATATGATATATGTAAAGAAAACATCATTAACATTCTTGTGATGGGAATGTAGACAGTAAGAAAGGAGACATCAAACATATGATACACCTTGTGGTTTCACTTTTAGATTCGGCAAAAAATGAAGGTTAGGTTAGGACTGGTGGCCTGCTGTTACAGTCGTAAAACTCAGGAAGCAGAAATGGGAGCAATACCTTGTGTTTTGGAGGTCAGTGTGGGCTACATAGCAAGACCCAGTCTCAACCAAAGCAAGACAACAACAACAAAAGAAGCTATGACAGGCTCTTAGAAATGCCGGGCGGTGGTGGATCACACCTTTAATCCTGGCACTTGGGAGGCAGAAGCAAGCAGACCTCTGTGCGTTCAAGTCCAGCAAATCTACAGAATGAGTTCCAGGATAGCTGTAGCTACACAGGGAAACCTGTCTCAAAATGAAAAGAAATACTTAAGAAATGATCAGTGATTGAACATAATAGTGTGGTAGTCCTGCTGCTGGCTGGCTGTCCTCGTGATAATCACCACAGCTGACATTTCCTCTGCCCTTGGAGCCACGTGCTACCTTCCTGTGCTTTTAAACTGAAAGACCATTTCTTAGTAAAGCTTTCACTGAAAACTATAGCATTGGCTTAAACATGAGATGAACATCCTCATGTGTATTTTATAGAAGCTATTTCAGAAAAATAAATGTGCTGTTTCATATAATTGAGTGCACATAAATTATTTCATAGATTATTTTAGAAACATAAACACCCAGTAGTGAAACTGTTACTAAATAGGCTATGGTATTAGAAGCATATATTATAGTTAGACCATAATTAGACCATGGGATTAGAGGTGCATGTGTGTATAAAATACAAAACCATACATGAAAATAACATTTGCGGACAAGAGGTATGGTTTGGTTTTTTTTTTAATATAGATACAAGGAAGTCTAGAAGGAAACATTGATCATAGTATCAGAAATAACAGAATCTCTGAAAATGTTAACTTAATAAATCTGAGTGGGGAACATAGGTGCTCATTTGCTTCTATATTTGTGTCAGATACTTGAGTGCATACTGGGAAATGTCTTACCGACAGGTGAAATTAAAGTACAGATAGTAACACTTGAGGGTACAGAAAGAGGATTTTACCCTAGGAAATAAGATCTCGGAGCTTGTGCTTTAATTGCTATGTTGATATGTTTTTATTTTGTACTGTTTTTTTTTTTTTGTTAAACCATTTCATTTTTCCCTAAGTATAAACAGAGTCCTTTTTTAGTTCTGTTATCCTTTTATTGAGTTACTGATATATTTCTTTCCCTTTTACAGATGATGGCCTCGGCTGCTAAGGAATTTAAAATGGATAACTTTTCACCTAAAGCTGGTACTAGCAAATTGCAGCAGACAGTCCCAGCTGATGCATCTCCTGATTCTAAGTGTCCTATATGCTTGGACAGATTCGATAATGTGTCTTACTTAGATCGATGTCTACATAAGTTTTGTTTTCGCTGTGTGCAAGAGTGGTCAAAAAACAAAGCTGAATGTCCACTATGTAAACAGCCCTTTGATTCTATTTTCCATTCTGTGAGGGCTGAAGATGACTTCAAGGAATACGTCCTAAGGCCTTCATATAATGGCTCTTTTACTGCTCCTGAGGTTCGAAGATTCCGCTACCGGACAACTATGACAAGAGAACGGAATGCTTCCCTTTACTCATCTGGTAGTACCATAGGTAGAAGAACAACTACCCCACCAGACAGTGGAGTGCTGTTTGAAGGGTTAGGCATCTCAGCAAGACCTAGAGAAGTTGAAATTCCTCAATTTATGAGACAAATGGCATTAAGGAGGACAGCTACTTCAGATGAAAGATCTTTGCGGAAAATTCAAGAACAAGATATTATTAATTTTAGACGAACTCTTTATCGTGCTGGTGTTCGAGTTAGAAGCATTGAAGATGGTGGCCGCTACAGGGATATTTCAGCTGAGTTCTTCCGTAGAAATCCCGCTTGCCTTCATAGGCTAGTTCCTTGGTTAAAACGTGAGCTTACAGTTCTTTTTGGAGCCCATGGATCTTTAGTCAATATTGTCCAACACATCATTATGAGTAACGTTACTCGCTATGATTTGGAGAGTCAGGCATTTGTGTCTGACTTAAGACCATTTTTGCTTAATCGAACTGAGCATTTTATACACGAATTTATCAGTTTTGCTCGATCTCCTTTCAACATGGCAGCTTTTGACCAGCATGCTAATTATGATTGCCCTCCTTCATCTGAAGAAGGCAGCCGTTCTGATTCTTCAGTCATAACAATATCACCAGATGAGACTGAGACTCAAGAGCTGGATATGAATGTATCCACTGTTAGGCAGGCACCATGGGATGATGAAACCCCCGGACCATCTTACTCAAGTTCAGAGCAAGTGCATGTTGGAATGTCTTCCCTTTTAAATTCATCAGACAGTTCAGATGAAGAACTTGTTCCCACAGGAGCCACCCCTCAGGTACAGGGAGTACAGACGAATGATGACCTAAACAATGATAGTGACTCCTCATCAGATAATTGTGTCATTGTTGGGTTTGTGAAGCCCCTCGCCGAAAGGACCCCAGAACTTGTTGAGCTGTCTTCTGATTCTGAGGAGTTGGGCTCTTACGAGAAAATGGAAACGGTGAAGACACAAGAACAAGAACAGTCTTACAGTTCTGAAGATAGTGATGTTTGTCGATGTTCATCACCACGTTCTGTTCTTGGAAAGGATGAACAAGTGAGTAAAAGCCATTGTGATTCTGATACAAGAGTAAAATCAAAGAAAGAAGAGAAACGATCTACATCAACTCCCAGAGACAGTTCATCCACGAGAGGAGACAGAGCAGCTTCCCCATATATCAATCGACACCGAAAGAGGGGAAGATCGAGAAGTTCAGACTCACGTTCCCAGAGCAGAAGTGGGCATGATCAGAGGAATCATAGGAAGCATCATGGGAAGAAAAGAATGAAGAGTAAACGATCCAGAAGTAGGGAGAGTAGTAGCAGACCTAGAGCAAGAAGGGACAAAAAGAGATCCAGAACTAGAGATAGTAGCTGGTCAAGAAAAAGCCAGACACTTTCTCTGAGTAGTGGAAGCACCAGCAGATCAAGATCTCGTAGCAGTGATCATGGCAAAAGAAGATCACGAAGCAGAAATCGAGATCGCTATTATTTGAGAAATAATTATGGAAGCAAATATAAGTGGGAATACACTTACTATAGCAGAAACAAGGACAGAGATGGGTATGAGTCGTCATACAGGAAAAGGACTCTTTCAAGAGCCCGTTATTCTAGACAATCTTCAAGTCCAGAATTCAAAATTCAGTCTTTTTCTGAAAAAACAAATGCTAGGAAGAAGAATCACAGTGAAAGGAAATACTACTACTATGAAAGACACAGATCAAGAAGCGTGTCCAGTAGTAGGTCAAGGACTACATCTACTGGGCCTGATCGTGTGAGAAACGAAAAGCCTGGAGGGAAACGAAAGTACAAAACCCGGCACTTGGAAGGTACTAATGAAGTGGCTCAACAGTCTCGTGATTGTGCTTCCAAAGTGAAGGACAGTCACTACCAAAAATCATCAAAACTTGATGGAAATTATAAAAATGAGAGTGACAGCTTTTCAGATAGCCGATCATCAGACAGAGAGACAAAACACAAGAAGAGGAAAAGGAGGACACGTAGCCTGAGTGTAGAGATAGTTTATGAAGGAAAAACTACTGACACAGCTAAACACCATAAGAAGAAAAAGAAGAAGCATAAGAAGAAACATAAGAAGCACCATGGAGATAGTACTTCCCGTTCCCCGGTTGTCATAACCATCGACAGTGACAGTGACAAGGACCCTGAAGTGAAGGCAGCTGTGGAATACAGTGATGGTAATCTTCCACAACCTCTCCGCAGTGAAGTTTTGACTCCTTCCTTGGAAGCCTTTGAAACGAGAGATGTTGTCACAATAGAAGATGAGTTTGGTGTCCTGGATAAGGAATGTGATGTTACTGCACTTTCTGATGACTTGAGTACCAGCCGGACCTTGGATAGTAGTGTACCACCAGCAGTCTCAGTTGAACAAACTCTTGATGTAAGAGAAGAAAGCACCTTTGCCTCAGATTTAGAGAGCCAGTCCAGTAACATATCTATGCAGACTGAGCCATCGAGACCATTGTCATCTCCACGGACCTCACTGTTGTCAGCAGCTCTTGGTGGAGATTGTGATGTGTCTTAAAACTGCCAAAGCATCTCATTGATAATTCAGAGGCTATAGAAAAATATGGGGGGGAAGTCATCTCCTGCAGTCTGGATGACTTGTTGGAAAAACTGGGCCTCGAAATATTTTAAGAGTTTGTGTGTGTGTTAATTTGTAAAAATCATTATTTGTTCAAAAGGTTATGTATGTCCTGTCCCCAGATATATGCACTTTTAAGTGAAGAAAACGTTGCTAGCAGTTTATTTAAAACTTGGGAGCCTTTTTAAATAAAAATAAAAAAATTAGAAGTTATTTCATAAAGCCATATGGTATTGACATATTTTTATGGTAGTATTTTTGGATTTTTTTTTCCGAGAGTTACTCTGAAAATGTGTTACAAATTGGGAGAATGCTTTTGGACAGTTATTTTTCATAAAAATTTTGTATGATTGAAAACCATTTCTTAGGGTGAAATACATCATTTTAATCTGCACAGGTTATCTTGCCATCTGCCAAAAGTAGTTTAGTATCTTGTTTATATACTTGTTTATCTGGACTAGCAGTAAAGCAAATGTGTATTCAACAAAAGACAATAAAATAGTACACAGTAAAAGAACTCAAGACATTTAAATGTGCAACATTGCTTTCTTTAAAGTTTGCTAGAGCCAAAGTCTTTGAAATTGGGTGACATTTACAGGTCCCAGTTTCAGTGGTTGGTTCAGGTCTTCAACTGGCATTGAGTGTTTTATTTTCTTAAGGAAAATTACTTTCTAGCATTTGGCTTACTACAAAATACAAGCCCTGACCAAACTTTTCTTTGGCAACTTTTCACATCAGGTGACTCCTTATTTTTAATCTTTAGAGAAAATAAAGTGGCTCTATATCTAGCTCAATAAAAGGAGTTTCATTGAACATCAGAGCTTGAACGTAATCCAGATTTAGGCTTCAATTTATCATGTTTTCCTGCTTTCATTCTTGACTGGAAGTTGAAAGGCTGCTGCCTGACAAGTCTGTGTTGGGTTTTAGTGGGAGAGCAAGGCAGGTAGACTCCTTGTCCTCGTGTATTTTACAGATTGTTTAGCTAAAACAATTATGTATATATAGCACTACAGACTTTAGTAAGTTCTCTGGAGAGTAGATACAGTTTTACATATTATATATGGTACTATATGTATAAGTGTATCTTACTGTATAATTTGTGTGTGTGTGTGTGTGTGTGTGTGTGTATGAAGAATACATAATGGAGACCCAATCTGAGGATACTTGAGAGAATACTTGAGTTAGAATGCTGAAAATAATTTGCCAGCAATGTATCTGAAAGGAAGAGAGTATGCAGTGAACCAAAACTGGGATCAGGTCTAGCATTTAGAGGTGCGGTTGCTGAAAGAACCCTCTAGAAACAACTTTGGTTTTAAAAAAAAAATCCTAAAGATTTGCTTAAAAGACAATAGAAAATACCTTTAATTATAGAATTCTAAAGTTGGTGTTGACAGTTTGAAATTCACACAGTGAGAAATAGTGGAAAGAAAGGGACTTTGCAGTTGCAAGAAGCTTTGGGGGTTTTTTGGGGGGTGTTGCTTGCTTTCCCTTCTCTCAGATCCTCCCCTCCCATCTGAATCCATTCCCTTTCTGTTTCATTAGAAAATACAGTCTTCTAAGGGAAAATAATAAAATATAACACAACATCAGAATCGGACAAAACAGAAGGAAAAGAGCCCCAGAGGGTACAATAAACACCCACTCATTTGCACATTAAGGAATCTCATATAAACACTAAACTGGAAGCCATAATTAAATGTATATACACACATTTAATTGTATGGGACAGACCCATACAAGCCCTGTGTGTGCTGCCTCAATCTCTGAGTTTGTGGTTTGATCATGTTGGTGTAGAGGATCTTATTTTGATATCCTCCATCCCCTTTGGTTCTTAGACACTTTCCTTTGCAGGGTTCCCTGGGCTGAGGGATTTGATGGAGACATCCTGTATTGGGCTGAGAAATGAATTATGCCTGTCCATGGGTCTCTTTGTTTCTGTCTGTTGCTGGAGGAAGCTCAAGGAACTGGTTATGATTATAGAAGAATGTTACTAGAAGTCATTTGCTACTTTTTTCTTGTTAAAGACCAGTATTGGTTTTACCCTAGGCTAGGTCCCTAGGCTCTCTAGTCTCAGATTCTTGGTCACTCAAGTAGTATGGGTATGGGTTCTGTCTCATGGAATGGGACTATAGTCAGGTACTGATTGGTTGCTCCCACAGGCTCTGTGCCACCATTGCACTAGCATATCTTGGAGCGTTGCTGCTCTTCCAAAGGTCCATCGGCAGGGTCTGTAGCTAGGTTGGCGTGTACATTTCTCTTTTGGTAGCACAACAGGGTGCCTTCCTGTACCAAAAATGCTAGAACCTGGGGGTGAAGTCTCTGTTGAGTGAGTTGTGTGGGTGTTGTCTTCAGCTATGAGTCCTGGCCATCTGTTAAGAACAACCTTTTGTCTTGGCAACAGCCTGGCTTGTTTGTGGATTCCCTTTGGTCAACAACTCAACTAGATGTTACCCAGTTCTGGTACTGGAAACTTAATTTGGTGACGAGATGAGCCGGGCGCATGTCTTTATTCCCAAGAATAAAGAAGCAGAGGCAGGCGGATCTCTGTGAGTTCAAGGCCAGCCTGGTCTACAAGAGCTAGTTTCCAGGACAGGCTCCAAAGCTACAGAGAAACCTAGTCTAGAACAAAACAAAAAAAGAGAGCCAACCAGTTGGGGATCTGTCTCTCCCATTACTTGGTGATCATTTAGCTCACCTTTATAGGTGTATATATTTTAGGAATCTTAACACTGTTTTAGGTTTCTATACTACCCCTAAAATACCCCTGAATTTTAGCTGTCTCTTCCCATTATTGCTCCTCTCCACTTGATCTTCCCATTCCAGCTCCTCCCCACCCATCTATTTTTTATCCTTGTTATCCTTTCCTAACAAGATCTTTCTGTCTTGCCCCCCGAACCCCCAGTTTTGCACTAGCCTCCAGTTCTGTGGATTGTATCTTGGTTGTTGTTGGATTAACAGCTAATATCCATATATATAAACAAATACAAACTTTTTTTCTGGGTGTGGGTTACCTCAGGATGACTTTTCTAGGTTCATCCATTTATCTGTGAGTTTGATTTTTTTTAAATTTATTATGTATACAGTGTTCTGCCTGCATGTATGCCTGACTCCAGAAGAGGGCACCAGGTCATTAGAAATGGTTGTGAGCCACCATGAGGTTGATGGGAATTGAACTCTGAATCTAGGTTGTTTCCAATTTCTGGCTATTGCAATGAATATGGTTGAGCAAGTGTCTCTGGTAGGATGAAGTGTCCATTAGGAACATGCTCAAGAGTAGTATTGGTAGATGATTGCCATCTTCCTGAGTAACCGCCTCACTGATTTCCATGGCAACTGTACAAGTTTGCACTTCCATCAGCAATGGATGAGTCCTCCCGTTAGTCCACATTCCTTGCAAGCGTGTGTTTTCACTTGTTTTATTGATCTTAGGCTATTCTAATGGACGAAAGGTGAAATTTCAAAGTTTCAATTTCCATTATACATTTAAGTGTTTCTCAGCCATTTGAGTTTCTTCTTTGAGAATTCTATTTAGATCTATACCCAATTTTTTAATTGGGTTATCTGTTTTCTTGTTATTTTAGTTCTTTATATGTTTTGGATATTAATCCTCTGTTGGATATGTGGTTAAAATCTTTTTCCTACTGTAGGCTGCTACTTTGTCAGAATGATGGGAGTCCTTTGCCTTATAGAAGCTATTCAGTTTCATATGGTCTCATTTATTATTGTTAATCTTAGTGCCTATACAGTTGGTGTTCTGTCAGGAAGTTGTCTCCTGTGCCCTGTGTTGAAGGCTATTCCCCACTTTATCTTCTGTCAGGTTCAGATTATCTGGTTTTATGTTGAGGTCTTTGATCCACTTGGACTTGAGTTTTGTGCAGGGTGATAAATATGGATGTATTGCGTTCTTTAAATGCAGACATCTAGTTTGACCAGCACTATTTGTTGATCTCTTTTTTTCCCTTGTGTATTTCTGGCTTCTTTATCAAAAACCAGGGGTCCAGAGATGTGTGCATTTATATCCGGATCTTCAGTTTGAGTCCACTGATCAATGTGTTGTTTTTGTGCCAATGCCCCAATGTTTTTATTACTGTAGCTCTGCAATACAGCTTGAAATCAGGGACGGTGAGACCCCAGCAGTTCTTTATTGTTCACGATTGTTTTAGCTATCCTGGATTTTTAATGCTTCAAAAGAAGATGAAAATTGTTCATTTAAGATCTGTGAAGAATCGTGTTGGAATTTGATAGCATGGCATTGCATTGGCTCTATAGATTGCTTTTGGTAGGCTGCCCATTTTTACTATATTAGACCATACTGATCTATGAGACTGGGAGATCTTTCTGTGTTCAGATACCTTCTTTAATTTCTTTCTTCAGTGTCTCAAAGTTCTTATCATATAAATCTTTTCAATTGGCTTGGTTAGAGATAGGCCCAAATATATTACTTGTGGCTGTTGTGAAGAGTGTTATCTCCCTGATTTTTCTCCGTCCATTTGTTATTTGTATATAGGATGGGTACTGATTTTTGCTGAAAATGTCTGTCAGCTGTGGGGGTTCCTGGTAGTAGATTTTTTTGGGGGTTACTTATGTATACTACCATATTATCTGCTAATAACAATACTTTGAGTTCTTCCTTTCTAATTTGTATTCCCTTGATCATCTTCAGTTGTCTTATTGCTCTAGCTAAGAATTCAAGTACTGTATTGTATTGAGTAGGTATGGAGAGAATGGGCAACCTTGTCTTGTTTCTGATTTTAGTGGAATCCCTTTGAGTTTCCCTCCGTTTAATTTGATGTTGTCTGTTGGTTTACTGTTAATTGCATCTGTTATGTTTAGGTATGTTCCTCGTATCCCTAATCTCTTCAGGACTTTTATCATGAAGGGTTGGATTTGTCAAAGGCATTTTCTGTATCTGCGATGATCATGTGGCTTTTGCCTTTCAGTTTTCTATGGTAGATTACATTTACAGTTTTCTATGGTAGATTACATTTACAGTTTTCTATGGTAGATTACATTTACAGTTTTATGTATGTTGAACTATCCTTACATCACTGGGTTGAAACCTAGTTGATCATGGTGGATGATCTTGGTTGTGTTCTTGGATTTAGTTTGCACAAGTATTTTGCTGAGTTTTTTTTTTCTCCGTGATTACAAATCAGTCTGTAATTCTTTTTTTTTTTTTTTTTTTTTTTAATATGATTTGTGTACCAGAATATTTATGTCCTTGTAAAATGTTTCTTCTGTTTCTGTTTTGTGGAATAATTCAATAACTCGTTGAAAGTGGTAGGATTTTGGACTGAAAGTCTCTGGGTGTTTTTGTTTTGAGGGGAGATTTTTTAGTGACTGCTTCTATTTCATTAGGGTTATAAAGTAGTGTGTTCATTAATCACAGATCTTCCCTAGACTCTCTCGTGTGCTGTCTGCATTTCTGAGCTGTACTCTGCCTGCACTTTGTCCAGTATTGCTCATAACCCTCTCCCCCATCCTTAGGATACCATGCAAAAAAAAAAAAATCTGTAAAATCTTTGTTTTCATTTCCCTACTTAAAATATTTCAGTAGTTCCTCATTATGGTGCTTTAGACAGACCATAAGAATAAGATAAAAATCCAGTGTGACAAAATGACTTAGAAATCTGGGGCTAGGCTCCCAGTTTTGCTTCACCTTCCCTCGCTGCACTCTACACCACAGCCCCTTCCTGCTCCTGCACCTCCGGAAACTTCATACATGGTGATTTTCTTCAGCCAGAACTGGGTGTCTGACTGAGCGTCATGTTAACGTGTGTTTGTAGCCCCCATTTTTACCTGGTAGTGACTTTGGCTTTTGAATACCAGTAGACTTACAAACAGTTGTTGGTAACTAGTTACACGGTGCCTCATCAGTCTGAAAGGCCCACGATGGCTGTGTAGACTGCTGTATTGTTACACTGCAGCTCACGAGGCTCAAAGCAATGTGCAGCGTTGTTTTTCACAGTTTTCAGGATTCACGTAACAAGATTTTATTGCAAGAAATTGGCAAGTTAACCATGACATCCTGTCACTGTAGTAGTGTATGTATTTTTAGTATGGGTTAAGTGTGTTTTTGCAGTTTTCACTAGAGTGCAGTCCTATTTTAACATCAATTTTTTTTTTCTGGTTCACTTAGTCTTGTATTGCAGTGCATTGAGTATAACTTGTTAAAGAACATGTAGTGTATTGTAATGCAGTGTCCTTTACAGCTGAGCATTTTGATTTCCATTACAGTTAGGATACAAATACTTTTCTGCATGCAGCTTTTCCCCAGTTGTGCTACAGAGTGCAGCTGAGTTGCTGAGGTCGGTCTCTTAATTCCTCAGCTTGAGCTGTTCTGCCATAGCCTCGTAAGTGTTGGACTACAAGTGCCTGCCACTGCACCACCTCTCCTTTGGTTGGTTGGTGGTTTGGTTTTTTGAGACAGGGTTTCTCTGTGAATCTCTGGCTGTCCTGTAACTCATTTTGTAGACCAGGCTGGCCCCAAACTTCACAGTATCCCCTTGCCTCTGCCTCCCTGGATGCTGGGATTAAAGCTGTGTGCCGCCACCACCTGGCTATCTCTCCTGCTTAGTTTTAACTTTAATGTTATTTTCTCCCTATTGGTTCCCAGAAGCGGATAAAAGGTTTTGAGCATTTTCCTGCTTTTTGATTCATATTGCCAAATTATTTCCAGAAGGGTTGTTCTTCACTAGCAGTCTGCAAATGTGTTATTGCACTTGTTTCCATCTTTAGATGCGCTCTATATATGCGCGTACATTTGCTTTGTTTCTATTTTTGAATTTTTTATTAGTATACAATAAATATATGGTATGCAAAATGATTTTTTGGTGGGAGGGCCGGGGATTCTCTGTGTAACAACCTTGACTGTCCTGGAGCTCACTCTGTAGACCAGACTGGCCTCAAACTTAGAGATCAGCTGCCCCCTTTATGCTGGGATTAAATGTGTGTGCCACCACTGCCCAGCCAAAACGGTAATTTTTTATGGCATACAAACTGATAGTTTTTACTGTGACACTGGCATCCATGTATATGATGTACTTTGGTCATATTTATTTAAATATTCACATTAATCTCTGCCCTCTTTCACTGGTCCTTTTTCCAAAGAGTCTTCTATTTTGATGTTTTTTAAATCTAGATTTCACATATATGAGAACATACAATAACATTTGTTTTTGAGTCTAGCGAATTTCATGTGACGATTGCCAGTTCCATGTATTTTCCTGAGAATATGATTTCATTCTTTATGCCCAACCAATATGTGTGTGTGTGTGTGTGTGTGTGTGTGTGTGTATACATAAAATCTATATATCTGTTAATGAGCATCTAGGCCAATTCCCTAAGTTTATTGCCTCATGAATAATGCATGCAGTATTTCTCTGAACTGCTTGTAAGTTACATACATAAGTGTCCCTTTATTCTAATTTTCCTGTTTCTCTAAAGAATGGGTTTGTGTAACTGAGGTAATTGCCAGGGAAATGTAACATTGATGCACAGTGTGTGACTTACAAGTGTCTCTCGGTGTGTCTTTTAACTAGCTCTTTCCTTAGTCCAGTCCAGAAAAGTATTTATTTTTTTAGTCTCAGACTGGAGCAATTACCTAGCACTTGTCTGTTACCACATTGGTATTTCTGAAGGATGTACTTTACAGAGTGGCCCTAATTTCTTTGTTGTGACTTGATTCAGATTGTAGACTTGGCTAGAATTACTATTTGGTATATCTGTTGGGGTGTATCTTCTGAGGTTTGTCCATTTGCTGCCCATTTTGACCATTTGCTTGGTTTGCCTTTTTCCCTCCCTACTCTTTACTCAGTAGTTTTCTTTTTTCGTTAATTTGTGGGAAAATGCATTGAAATCCTGGAAGCGACCTCTTCCTAGTAAGCTTGGCTAAATCTATCCATGCTTCTTTCCTGAGTCGGTTATTACTATGGTGACTATAAAATAATTTTCTATAGTTTATTAGGTGGCGTTTAATAAGCAGGTGTGAATGGAAGTTTCTTGTCCCGACCACCTGTTTCCTTTACTGGAAACTGTTTCCAAATTACCACACAGACTTAATATTTATAAATTTTTAGTCAAATGGCTTAGGCTTATTACTAACTAGCTCTTACATGTTATTTCCTTATTTACGCTCTGCCATGTGGAGATACCTTTATTAGCATGGCACATTGGTCTATTCCCACTGTCTGACCGGGGACTCCTGCCTTTCTTCTTCCTTCATCCTTAGTTTGATGTCCCCTTGCTCCCCCTGCCTCATACTTCCTGCCTGGCTACTGGCCAATAAACGTTTTATTAAACCAATTTGAGTTACAAACCTTTACAGTTTACAAGGGGATTGTTGTACAGCAAGCAGACGGTTTTCTTTTGTCTACTAATACAGTTCCACAGATTCTTAGTGGCCGACGGCCTTCTCCCTCACTTGTTTCCGTACCCAGATTTAGTCCTGGTCATCCAGTGAGGGCATTTGCAGTTGGCCTTCTATATTCTTTTTAGTGTCCTCTGGTGTAAAGAGAACACCCCAGTCTTTTTATTCTTAATGTTACTGCATACTGCAAGCCCTTACCTGTCGTGTAGATGAGTTCCTTCACTTGTACATTAGCTGCCAAGAGTAAGCAGCAATATTAAGGTGTGGGCCTCAGAGCTGAGGAGGTGGTTTGGGACAGTAAAGAGTTGCACAACAAAGATGGCATGAGTTCAGATCGCTAACACTCACATCTTAAAAAAAAAAAAAAAAAAGGCCAAATGTGGTAATGTGTACTTTAGTCCGAGCACTGGATGGAATGGACACTGTCAGATTCTGAGCCAACCAATCTAGATTAATTGGTCAGTTAAAGACCCTCTCTCAGAAAACAAACTATAAAACGTGGAAGCTGGACAGCAAGCACTAAGGAGTTAGAGGCCAGGCTGGTCTACATAACAAGATCCAGGCCAGCCAGGGCTACTTAGACCCTGTCTCCAAAAAAGAGAAGAGGAGTTCTTGAAATGGCTGTGCAATTTGTGAGCAGAAGACCCTTCCTTGTTCTTGCAGAGGACCCTAGTTCAGTTCCCAGCACTCACTGTAGTGCATAACCAACTACAACTCCAGTTACAGGGAACTAATGCTCTCTCTGACATCCTCATATACTAGGCTGTGTGTTGTGTGTGTAAGTGTATAAGGCAACCTCTCATACACAATTTATTTTAAAAGTGTAAGAAACAACACCTAGATCATGAGAGAACACATGTACACACCACACAAACAGAAAAAGAAAAAAAAAGTGGCCCTGCCCTTAAAATGGAAGGAGATGCAGAAAAGGGTTAAAGTGGCCCTGTGTTACAACACAGTAAGTAGTATGTTAACAGGCCACAGAAAATGCTAAATAGTTAAGGCAGCCTGGGGTTTGAGTCCAAAGGGTGAAACAACACAAAGAAGACAAGGTGGTAGTGAGGGAAATGATTTAGTATTTGAAGAAACTAGCTGTGCAATAACAGGACAGAGTTGAGACAATACAAGTTTCAAGAGTAGTTGGTATATGAAGTGATGGGGTTTATTGAGGCTGAAAAGTTGGTATCTGCGTAAAGTATTAAGCACCAAAGAAAGATCGGACTTCTTTAGGAGGGAAGAATTCCAAGCAAAGGAGTAACATGGTTTTTGTTGAGAGATCTTCCCTCTGCTAATTGGAGGTTGAAGTTAGAAGTGGTATGACTAATTAGATTATTACGTCATCCGATTAACCCGAAGAAGTCAGTGACGAGCAATTCTAGTGGACTAGAGCAGGTTCATACTGTAAGATGCAAAGGTAACAAAGAGTGTTGGGAGTCTGGAGTGGCTCTCGTGCCCCTGCCTTGGGGTCTTCGCACTTTCTGTTCATTGTGAGTAGAATGTTCTTCACTTAGAAGACTTACTTCCTGTCTTCATAAGGTTGTCTTTCTGACCAAATCAGCTAATGAATGTAGCCTCCATTACACTCCATTGCATCAACCTGCTTTATTTCTTCTCACCGCATTTTTCTATCCATCTCCCACTCTAGAAAGTGGGAAGCTTGAAGTCTCCCTCCTTTCTGCCATTGTACTGCCATCCCCAAGCCAGATGCTTGAAACACATTTACCGCATGGTTTCCCTCTTCTTTACACCACCAGCCACTCAGTCTTTCTTCACTGCTGATTCTCCACTGTTACCATCTTGACCTTTGTCCTACCGAGTCATTTCCAGACTGATCTACTTATTCTGGAAAGAAGCCAGAGAGGCCTTTTAAACATGCCGTTTAGGTATATCACCCTTGCGTAAATCCTCCAGTTGCACTTACTCCTTGTCTCACAGGCCCTGTTTACATTTCACTCCACCTCATGCCACCTCCTCAGTGTTTGCAAAGTCCCAGGATCAAAGTCCCAGGATACTGCTTGTATTTTGGCCCTTTTGTGTGCTCTGAGCCCTACCTGTCATCCACTTCTGTTTTTGTATATGTTTAAATGGCAGAGTCCTTCTTATTCTTTAAGTCTGCTGCTCAGTTAGGCATCCTTTTACCCTTGTTGAGAGACACCTTTATGCCACTTCACATTTGACTCTACTTGTTTCTGTACTTATGTCTGTTTGTACACCTTTGTTGTGTGTCTTCCTTTGCCAGCCAGCCTAAGCCCATAAAGACAACTTTTTTAAAATTTGTTTTTATTGAGCTATACGTTTTTCTCCGTTCCCCTCCCTTCCTCCGCTCTCCCCTTCTACCCTCTCCTGTGACCCCCATGCTCCCAATTTACTCAGAAGACCCTGTCTTTTTCTCTTTCCTATGTAGATCCTTGTATCTGTCTCTTAGAGTCCTCTTTGTTGTGTAGGTTCTCTGGGATTGTGAACTGTAGGCTGGTTTTTCTTTGCTTTATGTCTAAAAGCCACTTATGAGTAAATACATATTATATTTATCTTTCTGGGTCTGGGTTACTTCACTCAATATGGTTTTTCTAGATCTAACCATTTGCCTGAAATTTCAAGATACCATATTTTTTTTACTGCTGTGTAGTACTCCATTGTGTAAATGTACCACATTTTCAAAAGACACTTAAGGAAATGCTGAACATCCTTAGTCATCAGAGAAATGCAAATCAAAACAACTCAGACTCCATCTTACACCTGTTAGAATGGCCAAGATCAAAAACACTGACAGCTCATGCTGAGAGGATTTGGGGTAAGGGGAACACTCCTCCATTACTGGCGGGAGTGCAGATTTGTATAACCACTTTGAAAATCAATATGGCAATTTCTCAGAAAATTAGGAAACAATCTACCCCAAGACCCAGCTATACCATTTTTGGATATATACCCAAAAAATTCTCAATCATACCACAAGGACGTGCTCAACTATGTTCATAGCAGCATTGTTTGTCATAGCCAGAACCTGGAAACGATCTAGAATAAAGACGATTTTTAATGTATCTGTCTATGAAGTGTTTTGGTGTATACTCTGAAAACATATTGAGCAATAATGCCTAAGCAAAGAGAGAGTCCAAGATTTAAATATTTCTTCTTACCATCCTGGGGGACCTCTTCCCTGGTTATGGTTGCATTTTACCTAGAAATCAGATTACAGCTGTGATTTAATCCATTGCCATTCAAGGATATAGGACTTCCCACTGGAAGCATGAGACAAGACATATTATTACCCTTTCCCCCCTTTTTTGAGACAGGGTCTGACTCATATAGCCTGACTGATTTGGAACTCATGTAGACCAGGCTGGCCTCCGACTCAAGGAAATCTCCCTGCCTCTACCTCCCAAGTTGGGGAGCTAAAGATGTGTGCCACCACGTTCAGTTACACTTCGCTTTTGAAGGCAAGTCTTGATCTTGTTTTTCTCAGTTAGAAGCCAATAGTTAGGGCCTAATCTAGTGGCATACCTTGCAATCTCAGCACTCATGAAGTAGAAACAGGAAGACCAGGAGTTAAAAGCCAGCTTGAACTACATGAAAAGTTCTAGGCTAATCTGGGCTGCATAGACATACCCTGCCTCGAGCACTTAAAACTTCCCAAGCCTAAACCAGGAGTGGTAACATACCTGTAATCCCAGAACTCAGGAGATCATTAGCTCAAGGCTAGTGTGTCTAAAAACAACTTAGGTAGGATTTAGGTTTCCAGTACTGGGGATCAACTGAACCCAGAGCCTTGTATGTGCAGGGCAGATGCTCTACCCAGAGTCATCCCTAACTCTACTCACTCTTACTTTTGAAACAAGTTACTAAATTATTCACACTAAATTATTCCGGCCTCAGCCTCTCTGATAGGCCAAACCAGGCCTGGCTTGGGGTTTTTTTTTTTTTTTAAAGTCTATGTTCTAATCCACAATCTGAGTTTTTTTTAAAATATTTATTTATTTATTTATTTATTATGTATACAATATTCTGTCTGTGTGTATGCCTGCAGTCCAGAAGAGGGCACCAGACCTCATTACAGATGGTTGTGAGCCACCATGTGGTTGCTGGGAATTGAACTCAGGACCTTTGGAAGAGCAGGCAATGCTCTTAACCTCTGAGCCATCTCTCCAGCCCTGGCTTGGGTTTTTAAAGATATTTTTAGAAATACATACATGCCAGGCGGTGGTAGCACACTCCTTGAATCCCAGCACTCGGGAGGCAGAGACAGGCAGATCTCTGTGAGTTCGAGGTCATCCTGGTCTACAAGAGCTAGTTCCAGGACAGGCTCCAAAGCCACAGAGAAACCCTGTCTCGAAAAAACTGAAAAAAAAAAAAGAGATACATACGTGTGTGTGTGTGTGTGTGTGTGTACAATGTAAAATCAAAAAAAGTGGTTACAATGAATGAGCAAATAGAGGTTTTAAGCCGAGGCATAGGAAATGACACGGGAGGGCAGGACCTATTTGAAATCCTAGAACTGTTAAAAAAAATTGAAAAGTGAAACAACCATTGGCCAGCACATGAGTGGGAGCAGAATGGGATGTTGGAAAGATGATCGTGACTGTCTTACAGAAAGGCTTATGTTCTGCTTAGAATAAAGCTCATGACTGTCTACTGTGGCTTAAACTGCATGGAAGGGTTTCTGATAGTGGCCTGCAGGAGGGTTAGTGTGGAATTTCGTGATTATAAGGATCGGTTACTTAATGAAGTACAGTTTCAAATCCAAGTGAACTGAAATAAATTAATGCTATGTGAGGAATCTTTGGTGCAGCCATCAAATAAATAACACAAACACAAATACATGCACACATGTATGAGGAAGGAAATATGACTAAAGGTGAAAAGGAAAATTTATATTTTAGGAATTTAAAGGAATGAAATACAGAAGAATAAAATTAGATACAACAAACAGCAAAATCAAAACTTTAAATCCATACCAATAATTATTTCTGCTTTTCTTTTTCTTTTCTTTTCTTTTTTTTTTTTTTTTTTTTTTTTTGGTTTATTTCGAGACAAGGTTTCTCTGTAGTTTTGGAGCCTGTCCTGGAACTAGCTCTTGTAGACCAGGCTGGCCTCGAACTCACAGCGATCCACCTGCCTCTGCCTCCCAAGTGCTGGGTTTAAGGTACGTATGCCACCACTGCCTGACTGAAAGATTTGTTTTTATTTTATGTATTTTATTTTATGTCTGTCTGTATGTGTACTATATGCATGGGCACCAGAGTTACAGACAGGCGTGAGCTTACATGGGGTGCTGGGAATCGAACCCTGGTCCTCTGGAAGAGCAGTCAATACTCTTAACGGCTGAGCTGTCTCTCCCAATCCCTCAAACTCCAATTCTTAAGCTTAAATTCCGCTGGAATGTATTTCATAAAAGTTCAAATGCCCAGGCCCTAAACAAGTTTCATTAAATTTCAAAAGGCTGAAGCATTTCAGCGTATATGACCACAACAGATGAAAATCCGAAGTCAATAGCTTTGAGCTACTTAAGAAAATCCTAGCTTTCCTATTTAGAGGTGGAGAAGAATTCACAACGACACTAGAAACTATTGCAAATGGAATTCCATGAAAATAACAGCAAGATTTACGGAATGTTCCAGATTGCCATTTGAAAAAGGAAACTTAAAATGACTCACGTGCCTTTTAAAATACAGGGACAACTATAGTAAAGACATAATCCAGAATCCTCTTTTAAGAAGGTAGTACAACTAGGGTGGTGGAGCACATGCCTTTAAGTCCAGCACTGGGGAGAGAGGTGCAGGCAAATCTTTGAGTTCAAGGCCAACCTGGTTTACAGAGCTCTTTTGACTGCCAGGGTTTCACAGAAGAACCCTGTCTCAAACAAACTCTGTCCCTATCCATCAAACCCAGACGCCTTCTAGTCTAATATGCCCTGGCGGTCTGACACAAACCCGGTGTGTTCCTAGGTTAGTTACACAAATTGGCCTAAAGAAAGCAAAAGGGGGGTTGGGGAGACAGGACCCCAATTGGTTTTGGCTTGAGTGATTTAAAAACAAAACAAAACAAATACACCAACAGCCTGAGAGCCCACATCGCATCGGGGACCACTCACCATCCTGGAGCCAGGGACCCATGTAGCTGAGGATGTAGGTGGGGTCCAGAGTCTTCCTGACATAGTCTCTGAACGCTTGCAGATTCTGCCGCTGTTCAGCTGTCATTCTGTGGCTCCCCGCGAGCGATGAGCGCCCTGGCTCCCCAAAAGTCGCCTCGGATTTGAGCGCGGCGGAGGTTTTCCTAGGAGGCACCCTAGGGACAAGCCGCCAGGGCCAGTGCCTGGAAACCGAAACTGCCTCGCAGCGCTGGGGGCGGGGATCCAGTTACGTTTCGTTTCTGGTCCACCGAGCCGAGCCTCTGGCCAGGAGGGACTGACTCAAAGGCACCTTGGTAACTGCCTTGAAGTTTGCGCATCGCTTTCGGAGTGGTGCAGTTTGTATTATAAACTACCCACAGTTCAAGTGTACAGTTCGATGAATTTCGAAAAATGGAGACACCGGTAACCACTTCCGCCAGATCTGCCGGGACCTCCTGTAATCTCTGTTTTCACTTCATTCAGAAACTATCACCTCTTTTCCAAAGGGGCCATAACAGTTTGCATCCCCACTCATAGAATTAAAGAACTGAAGTTGACTTGCATTCGCTAGGTACAGATAACCTTTCTTTCTTCCAGATAACCTTTTTTTTCTTCCTTCTTTTCTTCCTTCTTTTCTTTCTTTCTTTCTTTCTTTCTTTCTTTCTTTCTTTCCTTCCTTCCTTCCTTCCTTCCTTCTTCATTTATTTATTAGCTTTTTTAAGACAGGGCTTATTATTTGTTTCTTTGTTTTTGTTTTTTTGGTTTTTGGTTTTTTGGTTTGTTTTTTTTTTTTTTTTTTCTTTTTGAGACAGGGTTTCTCTGTAACTTTGGAGCCTGTCCTGGAACTAGCTCTTGTAGACCAGACTGGCCTCAAACTCACAGAGATTCACCTGCCTCTGTCTCCCAAGTGCTGGGATTCAAGGCGTGAGCCACCACCTCCCTGCCCCCCACCACGGGAGGGCTCTGATTTCTCTCATAAGCACCTTAAAGTTCCAAGGATACAAATCTTACATATGTTACATTAAATTTATTCTATGTTCTTTAACACTAATGTAAATAGAATTGTTCTTGAATTTTCATTTTTAAATGGTTGCGACCATACAGAAACACAGGTAGATTTTGTTTGTTGACCTTGTATTATGGAACAGTGCTAAATTCATGTCTCCAGAATGCTGAGATTAAAGGTGTGCCCCACTGCCACGTCTGGCGACTTTATGACTTTTATTAATTTCCATGTCCCTAGTCTTGGTGCTTTTTATTTTCTCCTGCCACCCTGAGGTGCTAATAGGCCTGCAATCGCCCGAGCTTGTCTCCCTTCTGTTTTTAAGGCCCCCTTTCTGAGCCTTCGAGTTGCTCCAGTCTAATAGATTCTCATTTAATTATTTTGGTTGAAAATAAGATTACAATTGACCAAAACTGATTCAAGATAAGGTTTAAAAACCATAGGAATAGCCTTAAGTGTAATAAAGAAATTGAATTCAAACAAATACGACAACTGTGACTTCCGGCCCAAACGGTCTTCTTGGTGAATTCCATTAATACTTAATGTGAAAATGTTACTAGGACAGAAACTCGTGGGATACTAGCACAAAAAGCATTACAAGAAAATTGCAGACCAATATCCTTTATGAACACAGACAAATTAAAAATGACCCATTGTATGAAAATACTAGTAAATTGAATACAGAAGTATAGAAAAAAAGATGTTACATCGTCACCAGGAGAGACTTAGCCCAGGAATTTAGGCCTATTTAACTTTCACAAGTCAATCAATGAGACAAACATGTTAGGACAAACCTTCAGTACCAGCATTCTAGAGGCAGAAGCAGGAGGAACAGTTCAAGGGTCATCCTAGGCTTCATAGTGAGTTTCAGGCCATTTTAGACTACATAGGACCCTGTCTCAAACAAAACAATAAAATCAATAAAATTTGGCATGTTGACAAAATAAGTTGAAAAAAATTCAACACCCATTCATGCTAAAGAAGAAGAAAACTTAAAAACTAGAAAAGAAAATGTCATTAATCTGACTGGGAGCATCTGTCTTAGTTTATGTCCAGTTGATAGAAACCTAGACTGAGGGAAGCTCGGCTGAGAGTGGCCTCCAGCAGCCTGGTCTGCCTGCCCCTCTGTGTGGCACATGTTGACGGCTGGCTGGCAAAGCAATGCCTATCACACCCGAAGCATAAGTCCCTAGGCAGGCTGCTCTGGGCTCTACGAAAGACATCCTGAGCGAGGCAGAGCAAGCAAAGTCGGTAAACTGCTCTCCTCCGCCGCGGTTTCTGCTTCAGTGCCTTGAGTTCTAAAGCCCTGAGTTCCTGCTTTGGGTCCCCTGATGACAGATTTGAAAATAGGAAACCAAATAAACCCGCGTGGTCAGTATTTTATCCCAGCAACAAAAAGTGAATTACACCAAAACACCCAAACCTCTGGTCATTTCCAAGCAAGATTAGGGATAAAGTTGGTCAATTCTCATCACTTTATTCAGTTTTCTATTACAGCCTCAGGGTGGCAGGAGGAAAGACAAGGAAATAAAAAGCACAACGACTGGGAAGATGGAAATTAATAAACGTCATAAAGTCGCCAGACATGGTGGTAGGGCACACCTTTAATCCCAGCACTCGGGAGGCATTGATTTAGCACTGTTCTATGATATAAGGTCAGCAAACAAAATCTACCTGTGTTTCTGTATGGTAGCAACAATCTGAAAGTGAAAATTCAAGAACAATTCTATTTACCTTAGTGTTAAAGAACATAGACTATGCCCATCAAAATTCTTCAAAGACTTCAAAAGAACGGTACTCAACATCATTTGGAAAAGCAAAAAACTTAGGATAGCCAAAATAATCCTGAGCAATAAAAAACTTCTGGAGGCATCACAATCCCTGACTTCAAACTCTACTACAGAGCTACAGTACTGAAAACAGCCTGGTATTGACATAAAAACAGACAGGAGGACCAATGGAACCGAAGAGAAGACCCGGATATCAATCCACACACCTTCAAACACCTGATCTTTGATAAAGAAGCAAAAAATATCAAATGGAAAAAAGAAAGCCTATTTAACAAGTGGTGCTGGCATAACTGGATATCAACATGTAGAAGAATGAAAATAGATCCATACCTATCACCATGCACAAAACTCAAGTCCAAATGGATCAAAGACCTCAACATAAAGCCATCCACACTGAACCTTATAGAAGAGAAAGTGGGAAGTACACTTGAATGCATTGGCACAGGGAACCACTTCCTAAATATAACCCCAGCAGCACAGACACTGAGAGAAACAATTAATAAATGGGACCTCCTGAAACTGAAAAGCTTCTGTAAAACAAAGGACATGGTCAACAAGACAAAACGACAGCCTACAGAATGGGAAAAGATCTTCACTAACTCCACATCAGACAGAGGTCTGATCTCCACAATATACAAAGAACTCAAGAAATTGGACACTAAAAGATCACATAATCCAATAAAAAAAAATGAAGTACAGATCTAAACAGAGAACTCTCTACAGAGGAATCTAAAATGGCTGAAAGACACTTAGTCATCAGAGAAATGCAAATCAAAACAACTCTTAGATTCCATCTTACACCTGTGAGAATGGCCAAGATCAAAAACATTGATGACAACTTATGCTGGAGAGGTTGTCTCTGCATTGCTGGTGGGAATGCAAGCTGGTACAACCCCTTTGGATGTCAGAGTGGCGATTTCTCAGAAAATTAGAAAACAACCTTCCTCAAGACCCAATAATACTACTTTGGGGTATATATCCAAAGGATGCTCAATCGTGCCACAAGAACATGTGCTCAACTATGTTCATAGCATCTTTGTTTGTCATAACCAGAACCTGGAAACAACCTAAATGCCCCTCAACCGAAGAATGGATAAGGAAAATGTAGGACATGTACACCATGGAGTACTACACAGCAAAAAAAACAAAAACAAAAACAAAAAAACGACAGCTTGAATTTTGCAGGAAAATGGATGGAGTTAGAAAACATTAGAGTGAGGTAACCCAGACACAGAAAGACAATTATCACATGTCCTCACTCATAGGTGATTTTTAAACATAAAGCAAAGAAAGCCAGCCTACAAATCACAATCTCAGAGAATTTAGACAACAATGAGGACACTAAGAGAGACTTACATAGATCTAATCTACATGGGAAGAAGAAAGTAGAAAAAGACGAGATCTCCTGAGTAAATTGGGAGCATGGGGACCTTTGGGGAGGGTTGAAGGGGGGAGGGGAGAAATAGGGAGGGGAGCAGAGAAAACTGTAGAGCTCAATAAATATCAATAAAAAAAGAACATAGAATAAATTTAATGTAACATATGTAAGATTCGTATCCTTGGAACTGTAAGGTGCTGATGAGAGAAATCAGAGCCCTCCCGTGGTGGAGGGCAGGGAGGTGGTGTCGCAAGCCTTGAATCCCAGCTATTGGGAGGCAGAGACAGGTGGATCTCTGTGAGTTCGAGGCCAGCCTAGTCTACAGAGTTAGTTCCAGGACAGGCTCCAAAGTTACAGAGAAATTCTGTCTCAAAAAAACAAAAAACAAAACAAAGCCAAAGAAACAAATAATAAGCCCTGTCTTTAAAAGCTAATAAATAAATGAGGTAGGAAGAAGGGAAGGAAGGAAAGAAAGAAACGAAGGAAGAAAGGTTATCTGTACCTAGCGAATGCAAGTCAACTTCAGTTCTTTAATTTTATGAGTGGGGATGCAAACTGGTATGGCCCCTTTGAAAATGAGGTGATAGTTTCTGAATAAAGTGAAAACAGAGATTACAGGAGGTCCCGGCAGATCTGGCGGAAATGGTTACCGGTGTCTCCATTTTTCGAAATTCATCGAACTGTACACTTGAACTGTGGGTAGTTTATAATACAAACTGCACCACTCCGAAAGCGATGCGCAAACTTCAAGGCAGTTACCAAGGTGCCTTTGAGTCAGTCCCTCCTGGCCAGAGGCTCGGCTCGGTGGACCAGAAACGAAACGTAACTGGATCCCCGCCCCCAGCGCTGCGAGGCAGTTTCGGTTTCCAGGCACTGGCCCTGGCGGCTTGTCCCTAGGGTGCCTCCTAGGAAAACCTCCGCCGCGCTCAAATCCGAGGCGACTTTTGGGGAGCCAGGGCGCTCATCGCTCGCGGGGAGCCACAGAATGACAGCTGAACAGCGGCAGAATCTGCAAGCGTTCAGAGACTATGTCAGGAAGACTCTGGACCCCACCTACATCCTCAGCTACATGGGTCCCTGGCTCCAGGATGGTGAGTGGTCCCCGATGCGATGTGGGCTCTCAGGCTGTTAGTGTATTTTGTTTGTTTGTTTTGTTTTGTTTTTTTAAGTCACTCAAGCCAAAACCAATTGGGGTCCTGTCTCCCCCCCCCCTTTTGCTTTCTTTAGGCCAATTTGTGTAACTAACCTAGGAACACCGGGTTTGTGTCAGATCCCCAGGTCATTAGACTAGAAAACTTTCTCCACGTGTTTATATTTTGTACAGTGGTTCACATCCAGTTTTTTTTTTTTTGGTTTTTTTTTTTTTTTTTTTGGTATTTTTTTGAAACATTTTGTAGAGATGTCCTCCGAGGGGTGATGGGAGGCGACCGGGTGACAGTTGTTACTTTTCTTTTGTCTAGTGCTTGTTGTCTTTCCTGGTGTTGGACAGTGGTGAAAACTGCAGGTTAATCCCGGGGCCTCTTTGCTCTGCAGCTTAAACAGGATGTTCAGTGAGGCAGAGACCCTCAGGGTCCCCACTCCCAGTTCTGCTAGAGAGAAGTAGAAAAAGACACCGTAATGACTGGACTAGCCTTGAACCCTGAGGACAGGAAACCCACACTAGACATCTCTTCGCTTACAAGTGGTGTGACTTCCATTCTTTTAATCTTAACATTCCTTCCTTTCTGGATAGTTTCCTTCCCTCCCCCAAATGGTCCCCTGTTCTGCTTTCATTTTCTCTCTCTCTCTCTCTCTCTCTCTCTCTCTCTCTCCTCCCTCCCTTCCTCCCTCCCTTTCTTTTTCTTTCTTTTTTCTTTTGGCTTTTCGAGACAGGGTTTCTCTGCAACTTTAGGTCCTGCCCTGGAACTAGCTCTTGTAGACCAGGCTGGCCTCGAACTCACAGAGATCCACTTGCCTCTATGTCCCAAGTGCTGGGATTAAAGGTGTGTGCCACCACCACCCAGCTTCCTCCACATTCTTGTCAGCATTTGTTGTTACCTGGTTCCTTGCTAGACAGCCGAACTGATTGGGGTGCATTGTCCTTCTGTTAATGATAGCCTTGGCTATTTTTGGTCGTTTGTGCTTTATGTTTTTTTTTTCTTAATATACAATGGCAAACCTACAGACAGTATTATTCTAAATAGGAGAAACTGAGAGCATTTTCTCTAAAATCTGGAACGAGACAAGGGTGCCTGTTCCTTCTCCTATTATTCAATATAGCGCTTGAAGTCTCAACTAGAACAGTACAAGAGACATAAATAAAATTGACTCAACTAGGAAAGGAAGAAGTCAAATTATCTCTATTTGCAGACAATATAATCCTAAAAGGACTCCAAAGACTCCACGAGAAGACTCAGCCCTCACAAAAACTTTCACCAGAGTGGCAGAATATGCAGTACACATGGAGAAAACCATAGCTTTTCTTACATACCAATAATACCAATTACAGCCTTGCCCAGGAAGAAATGGGGAAAGGAGGGGGTGCCATCCACAATAGCTTCAAACAAACAACAAACTCTAACCAAAGAGGTGAAAGGCTACTGCAGGCTAAACTTTCAAGACACCAAAGAAAGAAATTCCAGCACTTGGGACAAAGAGGCAGGCAGAGCTCTGTGAGTTCGAGGCCAGCCTGGTCTACAAGAGCTAGTTTCCAGTACCAAAGCTACAGAGAAACCTTGTCTCGAAATAAACCAAAAAAACCCCAAAAAACAAAAAACAAAAAAAAACCAAAAAAACCCTCAAAATCCAACATAGCACAGAGAGGCTTACACACCTGTGTCTATCTCTGCACTTTTTCACGTCAGCGAGGACAGTGAGAACCCCTGAAATGACGGCTCTACGCTTAGGGGAAGGTTTTTTATTATAGATATGAGAGAGAGCAAGCAGAGGTATCTGGGAGCGTCCAGAGCAGAGAGACAAAGAAGCAGGCTGGCCTCGCCATGGCAACTTTTTTGGAACAGAGAAAATAGCAGGGAGAAGCAAGAGAGGAGAATAGTGGGGGATGGGATGGGGGCAACCTGGGGAGGACGCCTGATAATTCACAATGGCTGGTGATAGAACCAACCTAAAAGTCCATCAGTGGGTGGGTAAATGAATAGATGGATGGATGGATGGATGGATGGATGGATGGATGGATGGAAATTCCTAAGACTGCTTCCATTTGGAACACAGAGTTTGGGGTAACCTAAATCTGTATTCCTGAGCCGTGGTCACTCAAAATGGCTCCAGAATAAACTGTCTGTCTCTTAGTCCCTTTAAGATGAAAGCTATTGTTTTGTTTTGTTCTTAGTTTTCTCTATCTTGGACGCTTGCATTGTAGTAGTCTTTGAACTCTGGTTAGGGCTTGTTGTTTGTTTGAGGCTATTGTGATTAGTAACCCCCTATTCTGGTTTCTTTCTCGCCAAGTTTGCTAAAGGCATGTCAGAAAGCTACTGGCTTGTATGTTAGTCAGAAAAAAGGTTTTTTCTTCCTCCCTCTCTCTCTCCTTCCTGCCATGTACTAATCTAATTTTGTTATCAGAATAATTCGTAGAATGTGTGTCCCCTTCTGGTCTATGGATTATGTTGAAGAATATTTATGTTAGCTTTTCTTTAAAGGTTTGGTAGAATTCAACAGTGAATCCGTCTAGTTCTAGGCTTTTCTTTGTTGGGAAACTTCTTTTTTTTATTACTGTTTCAATCTCATTTTTGTTATAGACCTGTTTGGTTATATCCTCTTGATTAAATTTGGATGGGCTGTAAGTGGCTAGGAATTTGTCAGTTTCTTCTAGTTTGTTTTAAGTACAAATTTTTCAAGTACCTCCTAATGATTTTGTGCATTTAATTAGACTTTTTGGTTTTTCGAGAAAGGGTTTCTCTGTGTAGCTTTGGTGCCTGTCCTGGACCTAGCTCTTGTAGACCATACTGGTCTTGAACTCACAGAGATTCACCTGTCTTTGTCTCCCTAGTGCTGAGATTAAAGGAGTGCACCACCCCCATATTAATTAGACTTTTTTCTTTAATAAAAAATAATATATTCTTATTTTATGCACATTGAGTGTATGTCTGTGTGAGGGTATTGGATCTCCTCAAACTGGAATTATAGACAGTTGTGAGCTGCCATGTGGGAGCTGGGAATTGAACCAGGGTCTTCTGGAAGAATAGTCAGCGCTCTTAACTGCTAAGCCATCTCTCCAGCCCCTTAACTCTTTTTTTTAATTTCTAAGTTTGTTAATGTGGGTCTTCCTCTCTTTTTGTTAGTTTAGTTAAGAGTTTTAAAGTAATAGTTTGGTTTAAATAATAAATCAGTAAAGAGTTTGGGAAAATAATAATAAATGCATGTGAAATTCCTTGCCTCAGAAGCGAGGAGGAAGAAGACATCACATTTCATGTCGATATTTTTAAAATGCTGACCAGGGGTTAAAGATAAAGATCCACAAATTTAAAGATGATTACACAAGTCTCATTTTCTAGAAAGGGAGAAAAACATCACGTTTAGTAACTTGACTAACCAGGAAACAGAAGGTTTAAAACAGGATGATGCAAGGAAGACTCATGCTAGTTGTGGGTTGTAGACTAGCTAGCCCGTCTTTAAAGGAGCTAAGTTACATCCACAGGCAGAAGTGGGTCTTCCTGAGACCCCCTGTGGAGGTTTGAATAAGAATGGCCCCATCAGAATGATTAACCAGCAGGGAGCAGCACTGTTTGAAAGGATTAGAAGTATTAAGACTTTTGTTTGTTTGTTTGTTTTTTGAGACAGGATTTCTTTGTATAGCCCTGGTTGTCCTGGAATTAGCTCTGTAGACCAGGCTGGCCTCTAACTCAGAGATTCCCTTGCCTCTGCCTCCTGAGTCTGGGACAAAAGGTGTGTGCCACCACAATGCAGCTTTGCTGGGTAATAAATGTGACAGGACATCTTTTAACTCCAGAAACCCCAGTTTCAAACATTTTATCAAACTTTTTATCAATATTGCTAAATTAGTTCATTAATATGGATGAAGAAGATATAGACACTGTTTAATGTAGTAAGAATGATTGAATCCACTACACAGATTTGCCCTATAAAAGGAGAGTATATCAACCTCCTCCAATGTATAAGCTTTCTCAGATATTACACTACATAAATACTTAGCAAAGGTTCTGAAGCACGGCCTCTATAAATTTATTCTTTAATTTGCAGGCTCATGACCCCAGGAAAATGTTTTAAATCTGTTTCAGTTTCTATGTCTATGTGATGGAAATAATAACGTTTGAGGATTTTGAGAATACATGTCCGTGATACTAAATTAGTGACAAGTGTTCTGTATCCCCAGAATTAATCATAGGACTTTTAAAAATTACTTAAATAATTTCCAAACATCATACTTTGGAACCACAAGATGGCCTCATAGGTAAAGACACTTCCTGCCAAACCTGATGACCTGAGTTTGATGCCAAGGACACTCCTATGGGGAAGGAGAGAACCAGTTCCTGCAAACTGTTCCCTGGCATCTCTGCACATCTGCCATGGCATATGCACGCAACACACATGCGCGCACACACACACACACACACACTCACACATACACACACACATACACTCACACACACATACACACTCACGCATACACACACTCACACACACACACACACTCACACACACTCAAAGAAGCAAATAAAGAAATAAAGAGTAATAACAAAATAGTACATTTAAATAACTCTTAACCAAAAGAAAACCAAAATATTGCTAGCCATTTTTAAAAGGAAAGCTACCAATCAACACCCACATTCCACATTTAAGCTATCAGCTAAGCCTCCTTCAGTCCTCCTGCAGGAAGGTGCATTATGTTTTCATATTCCAGAACAGACAGTTAGAAATGAAGCCTCTTCCTAAGATACAAAGGGTTCTTACAAATTGAGCTCACAAAATGAATCAACAACCCTTTCAAAAGAGAGGGTGTGGGATGTGAAGAGGAGATCTAACTTAAGACAGCAGTGGGGAGAATGTACTGCTCTTGCAGAGGGCCCGGCTTGGGTTCCCAGCACCTGAATCAGGCCGTCTATAACTCCAGTTCCATGGGATCCGACATCCTCTTCACAGGCACACAACCCACACACAGACACCAAATACACATGACTGTAAAACAGACATCTTTAAAAATACGATGAGAGAAAGAGGAAACAGAAATTATTAAAAACAGTTGAATTTGGATTGGTTTTGTCTCTGCTTTCAAAGATCATTAGGGTTCAGCAGGCTTCTGGTTGTAATGGGAAATATGCATTCGTGCACTGTGATAAAGGCGAGATTCGGGTGCAGGTCTGTGCGTGTGTTCTATCTCCCCAAGTTAGTTCATAGTTACACTTCAGCCATGATAAAAAGACTTGAGGTTGGCCTGGTGGTGGTGGCGCACGCCTTTAATCCCAGCACTTGGAAGGCAGAGGCAGACCAGCCTGGTCTACAGAGTGAGTTTCGGGACAGCTAGGACCACACAGCAAAACGCTGTTTTGGAAAAAAAAAAAAAAAACCAACCAACAACAACAATAAAAAATACTTGAATAAGTGAAAGACTGTATAATTTTTTTATTGATTTTTATTGAGCTCCACATTTTTCTCTGCTCCTCTCCCTGCCTCTTCTCTCCCCCCTTCAACCCTCCCTAAAGGGCCCCATGCTTCCATTTTACTCAAGAGATCTTGTCTTTTTATACTTTCTACTTCCCATGTAGATTAGATCTATGTAAGTCTCTCTTAGTGTCTGCATTGTTGTCTAAGTTCTCTGGGATTATGATTTATAGGCTGGCTTTCTTTGCTTTATGTTTAAAAACCACCTATGAGTGAGTCCATGTGATAATTGTCTTTCTGTGTCTGGGTTACCTCACTCAAAATAATGTTTTCTAGTTCCATCTATTTTCCTGAAAAATTCAAGAGGACTGTATAATTTTTTTAAACTCTGGTTGTTAGAGGTACATTGAAGGTTTTTTTTTCTCTCTACCTATTTAAGGGATTCTGGCTAACTCAAGTGTGGTGGCCATGGCTTTGACAGGCCTTGGCCTTCTCCCCTATTCCCTATGCCTTCTTCTAAAAACAGAAAATAAAAAACAAAAAACCCCTATAGATTACATTTCTGAAGCTAGCCCCCAAGGTCTTTTTCCTTATGTGGCCACTTCCTCCTTCTGAGGCTAACTATCAAAGTCCAGCTATCAGAGTACTGGGGTCCAGCAATCAGAAGCCCCCTTTGGCTCACCTAGTTAACATGCCCAGTTAGAATTAAGCACCTCATCCTAACGTGCCATTTCCCCTTGTACTGTAGAACTTTAAGCTGAGTCCTCTCAGCAGTAGTGCCCCCACTCCCCTGGGAACCAAGGACCTAACAACTACACATGCACGTACTGAAATGTTGAAAACTTCCCATCTCCCTGACTCCTTGAGAGTGTTCTCCAAATGGAGCTCCGTTCTTGAAATTGGGACAAGATAACCCACAGATGTCCATAGATGTTTTTACTCAGTCCCTGGGAAAGGGGCAAAGTAACCCTCAGATGTTTCCTCTTACCTCATCTGATCTGGCAACCACCCTCCAGCCCTGGCTCAGACCAATTATTGTTAATAGCCCTTTGAATAAGCCAATCATAATAGTTAAAGAACAACCTCCAGACTCCCCCCTTGTTTCTGTGGCTTTTTGCTTTAAAAGTAGCCTGTACCAGCTATTCGGGGTCTTTCTGGCTTCTCGAATGCTGAAAGACCCTGTTACAACAGAATTACGAAAAATCCTCTTGCTTTTACATCAACTGTGGTTTTGAGAATGGGCTCTTGGGGCGACTCCTCCTTGGTAATTGGATTTCAGGGTCCAACAGTACTTTTATAAACCATTTGCCTATGGGCCATGTCTGTTTCCTCTCTATTCAGAGGCAGTCCTTTGTCCTCTGGGACAAATATTCCTCCCCTATATCCCTTGTTCCTTTTCCCTTCTCCCTTCTCCTCTGTCTCCTGTGTTTGTCCCTCATCCCTGCCCTCTGTCCCTCTGGGGCAAATCAGTCTCCTTTGTGTTGAGAACTTGGTCTTGGGGTTCCAGAGCTGTTATTTTTTATTTTACCTATCCCCCCATTCCCTCCAGAAGAGTATGATAACATTGTTTAGATGAGGCTAGAAGTGTGACTATATGAGGTCCTGAGTTTTTTAAATATTTATTTGTTTGTTTGTTTGTTTATTATGTATACAATTTTCTGCCTCTGTGTATACCTGAAGGCCAGAAGAGGGCACCAGACCCCATTACAGATGGTTGTGAGCCACCATGTGGTTGCTGGGAATTAAACTCAGGACCTTTGGAAGAGCAGGCAATGCTCTCAACCTCTGAGCCATCTCTCCAGCCCCAGGTCCTGAGTTTTATTTTTAAAAAAGAAGTTGGTTGTATCTTGTTTCATTGTGTTTGTAGAATTTATCATATTTTTCTATAAATATTTTGCTCTCTCTTTCTCAATTTTCTGTTAGATTAGTAACACTCTCTATTCTTTCCCTTGTCATCTCTTTCTTGCACTGGCTCCTTTAGGAGCTCTGGATTCTTTTGGTTGACCTTAATTTTGTAACAAATATATCCTATCAATAAGAATGCATTGAGGAACCTGGAACACTAAAAAGTACTATGGCTGGGTATATGACTTACATTCTGTACTAGAAGACAGTGGGAATTACTCATCCATGCTCCATGTCCTTCTCTTTCAGTATAACCTTTACTTTTTTTTTTTTTTTTTTTCGAGAGAGGGTTTCTCTTTTCTAGCTGTTCTGGGTAGAGTTAGCATGTCTAGTCAAAATGAATACCATTTTGAAGCTAGCAATTGCTAGTGTTTCCTGCTCCCTGTTCTCACGGGTCTCTTTAGCTCCCTCTTTTTCCATTTTTCTGCTGTATTTTTCACTCCTAGCAAGAACCCAGAAGAAAAGATCACAAGCGTACTCTTAGTTCAAGCTGCTTACTGCGTCTGCTACACAGGTTACTGACGCCATGGGACCCCACCGCACCCTCTTAGTCCAGCCATTGCTTCCTTCTATGTAACACCCTCCACTGTGACTTCTGCCAACTGCGGGGAGCTTATTTATTTATTTTTTTTCCCAAAGTCTTGAAGACACTCGTTTCGCAGAGTGCACGCTTGGAGCCCTGCACCCGCTTGTGTAAAGGATGGGACGTGTGTGTCGATGAGTGAGCAGAGTCTGCTGCTTCCCAGAGCTGCTTCGGTTGCATGGCTATGACTTCCAGCCCAGGTGGGAGGGGCTGGTCTGTTCCACCTCCCAGTGAGGAGTGGTTCTGCAGGCTGCTCACCTGTCCTGGCTTCTGATTGCAGAGGAGGTCCAGTTCATCCAGGCTGAGAAAAACAACAAGGGCCCCATGGAAGCTGCCTCCCTGTTCCTCCAGTACCTGCTGCAGCTGCAGACGGAAGGCTGGTTCCGGGCCTTTTTGGATGCCCTATACAATGCAGGTTGGTTCCTTCTTCTCACTCACAAACCGGAGTTACTTTACTCTGCTGTGTTTGAATGCTGTAAGGGAAAAAGGCTTAATTTTGTGTAGTTTGTGTCTCATTGTTCAAGGACAGGTAAGGACCATTTTCAGGCAGATGATAGAATTATCTACCAGAAACATCCAAAGGAACCTTCAGGATTGTTTTAACTGTGGGAGAGGCGACCGTGTTACTAGAATACCAATGTCTTTCAAGAGGAGAGCGAGTAAGTCAGTTTTACAGTGTTTACACAGAGGCCCATTATGCTGCAGCGCAGCTGTGTGAACGTGAATGACAATCCCGCTGAATTGTAGGCATGCGGTATTAAATTTTATATCATAACCTGCCGTAGCTATAAAGTTCCACCTGAGCCAAACTAAACACATTGTTAGGGAAGCAAACGAATGCCTTGTGACTACTCCGACAAAAGCGGAAGGAGTTGATAAGTTAAACATCTATGTTATGGGGATTTAAAAACATCTATATTGGAGCATAAGGGGTGAAGCATGTCCGTTTGCAGGCATGATGTCAAGTACATAGCCAGGAAGAACACAAAGAGACAAATGGGGCTGCAAAAAGTCTGAAAATCTTTGTACATCAAAGGTCACAACTGCCAGAGTGGAAGACCAACCTGTAGAATGGGAGAAAATGTTTACAAATTATGCATTTGATGAGGGATTATTATCTATAATATATAGGATATATATTATATAATATAAGGAACTCCTTTAACTCAACAGAGGAGACTTGGTTAAAAAAATTAGACAAAGTGGATTGGCTGCTCAGGCGGGCTGCTAAGAGGGCTCAGCTCACGAAAGGGCTTTGCTGCACAGGATTGGGTTCCCAGAACCCACGTGAAGAAGCTGGATTCAGCTGTGTGCATCTGAATTCCCAACATTCTTACATGAGAAGGGGTAGAGACAGAAGGGGGGCCCAGAAGCTCATGGGTCAGCTAGCCTTGTGTATGGCAGAAACAAAAAGAGAGACCCTGCCTCAACACAAGGTGGAAAGGGAGAACCAAGTCCTGCAAATGGTTCTCCAACCTCCACACATGCGCTGTGGCACTCCGGTGCCCCCGCCCTGTCCCACTCCTAATAAAAACAAAGGGTTTGCCATTTCTCCAGACATACAACTAGCCATCACACATGTGAAAAGATGCTAAAATCACTCAATGCAATGGAAGTGAAATCTCCAGCGAGTTACTGCTGCACACCCATTCCTCCTGTGAGGGTGTGGAGAAACTGTATGGTTTGTGCACTATTTGTAGACTATAAAATGGTGTCGCTGCTGTGGAAAATAGAGTTTCCTAAAAACAAGCAGACAAACAAAAACCTCATTGCATTATCCAGAAGATCCATACCTGGAATTTTTCCCAAAGAATTAAAACAAAGCTTTGAAGAACGAATTCTGCATTGATGTTCATAGCAGCTTCCGGCCACAGCTAAGACACAAGCCGTGCAAATAGCCTTTATCCCAAATGGTGTCTGTCTGGGTGGTAGCACTCCCCCAGGTCGTGGTGAGGCCTTAGTCTCAAATGCATCTCAGTGTCACAGAATGAATAAACAGCTAAAAAACAAATAAAATGTAAGGAGAAAAACACATGGTACATGCCTACAGCAGAATCCTTTCTAGTTCTCCAGAGGAAGGGAAGCACACTTATGCTACCACGCAGAGACGGTTGCACTAAGTGAGCCACGGTGCTGTAAGCCTTTACAGTTCCACCCATGCCAGCCACCGACTTGGAGCCATAGGAACAGAATGGCGTTTGCAGGAGGTGGAGCGAGGGACAAAGGCCTTGCTCATGGGCAGAGACTTACGGTTTTTGCACGAGGAAGGCATCCTTGAGCTCATTTTGACATAATCAGTTTACTCGACATTGCTGGACTTAATTAAAAGTGATTAGGTGGTCAATTTTATAATTTTTTAACTACAATAAACCATGAATGAGACTATATATTTTAAATTAATTAGCCATTGCTATTTTTCTGAACTTTCTAAATAATATATGTAAATAAGTACCTTTTAAACACATACAGAATAACTTTAGAGGTTATGAAAAATGTTGCAGAAGAGTTATGTGCACTCTACTGAACACTTACGGCTTTCCGAAAATGAGTGACATCCAGTGGCTGTGCATCAGACATGTAGCTGTGCCTCAGACATGTAGCTGTGCATCAGACATGTAGCT